TCCAGAGGACCTATACAATTTTTTTCTTTTTGATTTTTACCTGGATTACTGAGATGCATCAGGACTTTTTGACTTGACTTTGACTTTTTTTTTACTAAGTCTGACTTACAGTTCAACTGCTAAAACAGCTCATCTGAATAAAGTGACAATAAACACTGGTTGTTGGACTGTATATGAATAAGCTTTGAAAACATTTTCACAACAAATATAGAAATAATGTTTGTATGATGCTTAATTAAATCTTATTTCTAAATCTGTATTTTTTTCTCWTTTTTTTTCTTTCTGTTTTAGGATTTGGAAGGAAAACCACAATGATCCAATTTGGCAGGAAAATAGCACCATTCAATCGCTAGACCACTCAACAAGTTGGTAGGTTCCTCTGAGATCCATTCACYGGCTCCATCTGCCACATGTTAGCATTGTTCAGCGCTGTTCATTCTGATGAAAATTGTTCTGCTCCTCTGTCTAAATCCTTCATGAAGAAAAGAGAAGATAAGTGACAGATTGTCTTGATTAGGCTATTGTCATTCTTGTAAGATGGACAGCTGCTATGCAATTTGTACACATGCAAGGAAAAAATGATCAGTAAAAAGAAAGTGGGGGAAATATAAATAATGCAGGGGAATAAATAACCATTTTCTGTTGTCAAGTGGTTTTGGAAGTTATTTCTTCAGGAAAAGCTGTTTCCGGTGAAGAACCATGGCAGTAGTTTGGGTCTGCATGTATTCATGTTTTTGAGCACATCATCCACAATGTGGGGAGGGAGGGTGGTAGTACTATATGCAATGTCTATTTAACATCTAGCTGGATGTTAAATAGATCAGGCATTTGAAGGCAAATAACTTGGAGTTGACAAGGTAAAGGTTTAAGAGAAAAGGAAGTAAGATGTTAGCTACTCCTAACTTCTAACTTAAATAAATGTGGGATTCTTAACCAGAAATGTCTCTCAGTCAACATCAGCCAGACAGTGATGCTCGTAACAGCTAGATTTTTACCTGTAAAGATGATGTGGGTCACCTGTCCACGTATTCGGGGAGGTTCTTAAGAAAATCCTTCACGATCGTCCACTCAGCTGGATACTCCAGGCATATTAAGCTTCAGCATCTGCGTACATACGTCCCGTGATAGGGCAAGGTCAGGCTCACTGGTTCAAATAAGGCTTGCTTCCCACAGGAAGTCCAGACAAAGTTGCTTTGTGAGCTTTGMGCTAGTGCTTTTGGTGGGCAAATAGTAATAACAAGCTAATGGGATTAGTGTGCGACCAGGCCGCTCCTGGAACAACAACAAACACATTCATTTGTAATGGCTGCCATTTACCAGTGTTGTGTGAAAGTAGGTGTCCCCAAAAAAATGTTTTCCCACCAGAGGGGGCGCTCGTGAGTAGACAATATCGAAGTACAGTAATCTGTTTTTCCACCAGAAGATGGCACAAATCCCAAGTGAAGTCTCTGAGTTTTGTGTTGGCGCCCTCTGGTGGACTGTGTAAAATTGTCTGATGTAACATGTCATTACCCTAAATGCCAGCGTTCATATGATGCTGCTACAAAGCTCAAAGTCATAGTTTGTTGATATTCACTCACCGGCCACTTTATTAGGTACACCTGTCCAACTGCTCGTTAACACTTAATTTCTAATCAGCCAATCACATGGCGGCAACTCAGTGCATTTAGGCATGTAGACATGGTCAAGACAATCTCCTGCAGTTCAAACCGAGCATCAGTATGGGGAAGAAAGGTGATTTGAGTGCCTTTGAACGTGGCATGGTTGTTGGTGCCAGAATGGCTGGTCTGAGTATTTCAGAAACTGCTGATCTACTGGGATTTTCACGCACAACCATCTCTAGGGTTTACAGAGAATGGTCTGAAAAAGAAAAAACATCCAGTGAGCGGCAGTCCTGTGGGCGGAAAKGCCTTGTTGATGCCAGAGGTCAGAGGAGAATGGGCAGACTGGTTCGAGCTGATAGAAAGGCAACAGTGACTCAAATAACCACCCGTTACAACCAAGGTAGACAGAAGAGCATCTCTGAACGCACAGTACGTCGAACTTTGAGGCAGATGGGCTTCAGCAGCAGAAGACCACACCGGGTGCCACTCCTTTCAGCTAAGAACAGGAAACTGAGGCTACAATTTGCACAAGCTCATCGAAATTGGACAAGAGAAGATTGGAAAAACGTTGCCTGGTCTGATGAGTCTCGATTTCTGCTGCGATATTCGGATGGTAGGGTCAGAATTTGGCATCAACAACATGAAAGCATGGATCCATCCTGCCTTGTATCAACGGTTCAGGCTGGTGGTGGTGGTGTCATGGTGTGGGGAATCTTTTCTTGGCACTCTTTGGGCCCCTTGGTACCAATTGAGCATTGTTACAACGCCACAGCCTACCTGAGTATTGTTGCTGACCATGTCCATCCCTTTATGACCACAAAACCGTTACTAGCGTGGTGTACCTAATAAAGTGGCCGGTGACTGTACATTTACTGTCAAAATACCTTTTAGTACATATGTTGTTAAAATAAAACCTTATACAGTCAAATGATCATTTTACTGATACTGTATGTATAAAGACTGCAAAGGCTGAAAAATCGTGAAGTCAGTATGAAATTAGAGGTAGTTCAAGGATTTAATTGTTTATGCTTTTTAAGCTTACAAAAGTGTGGTGGGGGTTGTATTATACATAAAGTAGCTACATATATCCTTACTGAACTTCTGGAGTGAGTTTGCTGCTCTAAAAGTAAAGGGGACAAATAATATTGCACATCCAACATTTCAGATTTTATTTATTAAAAAAGTTTAAAATATCCAATAAATATTGTTCCACTTCATGATTGTGTCCCACTTGTTGTTGATTCTTCACAAAAAAAGTAAAATTTAATATCTTTAGGTTTGAAGCCTGAAATGTGGCAAAAGTTTGAAAAGTTCAAGGGGGCTGAATACTTTCACAAGGCACTGTACATTTTCTAAAGAATTGGAGCGAGTACAGAGGCAACGTTTCAGCTTGTTAAGATACTGTATCTCCGAGTCATYCTCACATACACACACATAATGATCATAATACAAGTTACAAATGCTAAATGTAGAACACAGAAAGACCAAACAACCAAAGAAAACAACATGAGTGGTTTTCAGACTACCTGGGCAGACGACAATGGTGTTAGTGCACTTCTGAATGTTGGAATTGCATCATCCTTTAGTGATAACCTTGATATTAATCCACTGTTAAATTCCCTTTTGTTCAGAAAGCTAGCACTCTTAAAGTGGCTCGCACAAATAAGATTTTTTTTTTCGTTGGAGGGTTAGTTCCAATAGTGAATACTGTGTCATCCTTGGAAAGCTTAAAAAGAGGGTAGTCTCCCCTCGGCATCCAAAAATACATTTCCTCAAAGGCATTATTTAATCTGAAAAGAACTGGACTGAGAAGTATTACGAGCTCAGCAGACGTGTGGTTTCACCAGTTGTTTGCTAGTTCTTGCTGCCGATAGCCTGCAGGAGTAGTGGGCAGTGGTGGGCAACGCTAACCCAAAAATTAGCTCCACAATTTCTAAAGCGCTTATGAAAACATTTAGGTCCACAACTTCAAAACCGCTTATGCCATAGTAAAACTAGCGGAAGCTAATTTTAAAGCACAAGTTCAATTTGTGCTTTAAAATTGAAATTCAGTTTTGTGTTTGGAGTGCGGGGGCACACCAAAAGACTTTTTTTTTTATACAGTTGTGACTTCAGCCATATTTTATGGCATCGTATGTTGGGGCAGCAGGTGAGAGGAAGCGGATGGATAAGCTCATCAAGAAGGCCAGCTCTGTGCTGGGACGCCCCCTCGACCCAGTGCAGGTGGTGGGAGACAGAAGAATTCTGACTAAAATAACATCAGTGACAGAGAATGTCTACGACCCCATGCATGGATCTGTGGCTGATCTGCAGAGCTCCTTCAGTGACAGACTGCTGCATCCTAAATGCACAAAGGAGCGTTACTGAAGATCCTTCCTCCCATCAGCTGTTAAACTCTATAACCATCACTGCTCCCAATAAACTCAGTAAGCATCCATGTTTGTGTTTGCACATCAAATAACTCAATCTCTCAGTCATTACATAAATACTACTCTGTGGCAATTGTACATCTATTTTCCAGTACTGGAACACCGCATGAGTCTTTCATGACTAATTACTTGTAATTTTAAATTCAATTTAATTCAATTCAGTTTATTTGAATACAACTGTTGTTTCAGAGCACTGTATAAAATAAATAAATAAATCTGAAAAATCCAGCAGACTGTGCAGAACATGTGGTCACTTGAAAGGCTGTTTCCATTCTATTCTATTCTATTCTATTCTATTCTATTCTATTCTATTCTATTCCCCTAAAATAAAATAAAAATTCACCTTGAGGTTGATTTCTCCAACGACTGTCTGAAAACTGGCCTATAACAAATGGATTATGGCCAATGCTAGCAAAACACTTGCAGTCCTTGAGCTAAAGAATGCCAATAGCAAAAAAARGTCTACTAGGCACTCTTTGGACAATTTGGACTTTTGAAACTACCTTGTGGGTGGGTGTGACTGAGTGGTTAAGGGAGGCAGCCTCTAACCAGAGAGTTGGCTGTTTGATTCCCTGCTAGTCAGTCATATGTCAAAGTGTCTCTGGGCAAGACACTGAACCTCAACTGCCTCTGATGTGGCTCCCATCAGTGTATGAATGTGATTTGAAGCACTGATTAGTCTCCCTAGATTGATTTGTACACGTTAGCTCTGTAGAGAGATAAGTGCTGTGTGAATGGATAAATGAGGACATAGATTGTATTGTAAACAGCTTTGAGTATCCTGGTTGGATAGAAATGTGCTATATAAGYACAGTCCATTTACCATTACTTGGTRGTCAGAAGRTTATTGAGGAGACAAAACATCAACCAGTCTGCTTCCTGAACAGCCAAAGCATTAGAGATAGTGTAGCAATAATCCCCCATGGAGCATGATGGGTAATGGCACTTCAAAGTGTTGACATTGAAGTCAGCTTGTCAGTGGTGTACAGAGGATCCTCCTGGTGAACCAATCCTCAGTCCCAGGWGCTCCCCATCACAACTACTACTTCTAATAGAAGATCTRCAGAGAAATGATCAATATTTACACTGATGACTGTTCATTTTATCACAACTCCGAGCTCAGTGCAGGTGTTGACATTGTCTGTTCTAACACTAGTGCATAGGAATCAAAGTTTTCCATTGGGCCGGTAAATGACATAATATTTAGAAAGTGCAAGCATTCTTTTTACTTTGAAACTTTCTGAAGAGTGGGACGTTGGTAMTTTTGTCATTTGTGCTGACTCTAACAAGACTTGAGAATGAGTTCTGTCATCTTGCCTTGGTTGGTTTGGGGAAAAATTGTTCCCACAAACAGGGAACACGTTAAATGTAAAGACCTTAAGTGAAAACTTGATGACCTCTAACTCTATGTTCTAACTCTAGGCAAATACAGTATACTGTATTTAAAAATGTCAGAAGTCACAGGACAAAGAGCTCGATGATCTGTCAGACTAAGTGTGAGTTTTCTGATGACGACCGTATCACACTTTAGTCYCTCATTCCTAGGATCAACTGTTTCAAACTCAGTTMTGTCTGCAGAGATCACACAACTCAGGAATGACATTGTGTTCAAAGTTCAAGCTTCACTTAAGTTGGTCAACAGTACTCTAGTAAATGTTTCCTACACAACTGTTTCACCTGTTCTAACACAAACACAAAAGGATGATGATGATTCATGAGGTGACAGATGTGTCCAGTAACCTTTTAGACTTTAAAGCAGGTCACCTACTGGCCTGGAATGGTTTAAAGATGTTGCTGATTAAATGGAGGTATGTCTGGTTTGCTGCCAGTTTCAACCCACAAGCTTCATCCACAGAAATCCTGTGCAAGTAAAGGAATCCCCTTCCCATTGTCTGACCTGCAAATTGACTTGGTGTGACCCATAACACTTCTGAAGTGAAATTCCACATTGGCCACCACTCTCAAGCATCAGGCCAAGCAAACAGAATGGTCGTTAGTTGGGACACCAGTACAAGTATTTTTCTATTGAATTTCTGAGTTGAATTCAATTCAATTCAATTCAAAAATACTTTATTGATCCCAGAGGGAAATTAGTTAATAGAATTTGGCAAAACAAACATCTTGTGCACTTCATTCACAACTTATTCATATAAAGCGTATAAAGTTTTTTTCCAGCAGCATCTAAAATAACTCTTGTTGTCCAAAATTACTTTTTTCTTTAATAGAAGAAAAAAATGAAATATTTTACTTGTTTATCAGCAAACATAAAACAGGCCAATAATTTAATAATTCACTTCAGACAATGCTTTGTATCACAGAACAGGAATAGTCAGGATTTCCTCATACAGTATTTCCTCTGGGGACTTTGTCTCAACTTGAAAAAAGTGTTATTCATGTTAATAATAGATTATGCACACATACATAGTCTGTGTCACAGAAAAGTTATGGATRTTTCAAACTGACAAATGTATGCATTCAGTTCAGTTTTTCTATTTTTGTTTTTGTCTCAGTGTGTTTTTTCTATCTTTTATGCCTGTTTTTTGTTTGATGAAATTMATTCTGAAATGCAATGAAATATATTTTATATAATATTTATTTTTTTCAGCTGCTCCTTTTCTCAAGGAATTGCCACAGTGAGCGAAAAACCCACAAGGATTTGGCAATTGTTTTTATACTGGATACTTTGTGGAATTAAGGACCTTTCTCCAGTGTGATTTGATAATGCACACCTAATAGCTGGGTTTCAGTCACGTGGTTTCAAAGGCGGAGCGATCTCCACTGGAGGGCAGGGGGTAAAACTACTGTAGAGTCTATATTGTATGGATTTAGATCTTATTTCACAACTGTATGGAGCAAAACTTTGTTGTGGTGACAGATAACAACCCACTCACTTACATTTTAACATCTGTCAAATTGGATGTGAGCAGTCATCGTTGGCTTGCTGCACTTTCCACCTACAATTTCAAGCTGCAGTATAGAGCTGGGAGCAAAAATCTTGATGCAGATGCATTATCTCGCCACCCTCGTGGCGATTCTGCAGATAACACCTTACAGAAAGACTTGGATTTCATCTTTAAATTTGCTCAAGACCATAGCAGTGAAACTAACGATATTGATCCTGAGGTCRTCTCTGCAATTTGCCACTCCTGCCTTGTGAGAAACCCACCAGCCAGTCAACCCATCAGAAAAGCCAATTACTTTGGTTGAATCATTAAGCAGGTACACCACTGCTATTCCTGATGCGTATGTCAATGAGCAATACAATGGTTTGCCTGTCATTCTCTCTGTGTCACATCATGACCTTAAAGAGAAGCAACGAGCTAATCCAGTAATCAGAGAGGTCATCCATCAGCTGGAATCTGGAGAAAGAGTCCCTCCATTAGTGAGGCAAGAACTCCCAGATCTAGCTCTTCTATTAAGAGAGTTGAAAAGACTTGAGTTGCTGAATGAAGTTTTATATCGAAGGCAGAGTAATGATGAAATCTGTTACCAGTTGGTGTTGCCTGAAGAGTTGAGAGCAATGGTTTTAACAAATCTTCATGATGATGTGGGTCATYTGGGCATCGAAAGAACATTAGATCTTGTACGTTCCAGCTTCTTCTTGTTAKGATTTGTTTTTTGTTTCTTTTAAGAGTACCCAAAAACAACTTAAACTGACAAGAAAAACAGGACAAAGACAAAAATGGTAAAAGGTAAGTGAGTTTATTATTAGGGATGTCCTGATACCACTTTTTCACTTCCGATACGATACCGATATTACAACTTTGAGAATTGTCCGATACCGATATTGCCCGATACCGATAATTGACCCGTTACCATAACAGTACAAGTCACACACTTTTTACCTAATTTGTAATGTAAAATCTTAGAAAAGTCTTGATCAAGTCAAACGGTGAAAAAGAGTAGGTATGAGAAAAACTGACCCATTTATTTTTAATCAATGGGTCACATACATTTTAAACTGAAGAACATTCTATTATTTAATCAAATAAATTATAATACCCTGAAAAATAAAGCATCATGTGGAGATCAGTCTCTCACTCCTGCAGGGAGCAGTTTTTATCACTGCTCTCGTCATGTCGTGCTCATATTCCAAAACAAAAGCTGCGCTCTCCTTTCTTCTGTCCATCGACCCGAGCTAATCCATGGGATGTCAAAACTGTAAGCGTGCTGTCCTCGCTTCTGCCAGCTTAGAACCACCGACCGAACCAGAGAGGAGGTTCTGAAACAGCGCGGCTGTGTGCGGTCACTGGACCGAGGCTGAACGAACCGAGCCGAAACGCAAAGCTGCTACCAGGGTGGACAGTAGTTGTCGCTCCGGTTTAAAACGTTCACGGTTCTGTTCCCCCTCGGAAAACTTGTGCGTGACAACTTTACACTTAGCTGCAACTCTGTTTCTGATGAAAATAGAAAGTCCTGCCGACATTCTTGCTAGCTTGTTAGTGCAGCATGTTGTTGTGATCACGTGAGCGCTACATGCTGGATCCAAGCGCTGCTGGATAGAAACACTGGAGCGGAGGCAGTGAACTGCTGGAAAAAGGGGGAAAAAGGGGGAAAACTGTTTAGGATGATCTTCTCAGGTAAGTGTTTGAAGTTGTTGAATGTGTTAATTGTTGGTTTTCTTACAGGATCCAGGTGAGGAGGCTGACAAGGACGAGGAGGTTTGTAGAGGTTCTTTGTTAGGAATCGATCACAGGTAATTTCCAATTGTGTCTCTTGCAGATTTCCGTTAAAGAGAGAGAGGCAGGGTGGAGGACAACGAATCACTTCGATCTTGGAGTGAAAAAAACCAACAGTCTGGATGAGAACCAAATGTGGAGTCACCAGGAGGATCAGGACGGTCCTGCCTGAACACAAGGTAGGTGTAGAAAAAATACAACAAGGGTTAAATAGGTTTTCACAAAGAATTAAACTGAGGCTATCTTAAACAGTACCATGGGCAACTGAATAATCCAGCGTCGGATGGATCTCAGAAGGTGACTGAAATACTCTCAGGCTTAATCAGAGCAGACTATGCACAGGTGAGTCCATCCAATCTCTGCCCACCGAACCCTCAGTGAACTGCAAAACAATTAGCCAGGTACAGCAGCAGCAAACCTCCACACTTCTGGCCACACATAGCATCTGATGTTGAGATTAAAATCCGAACTTGCAACAAATGTGTGAGACGTAAAATTCCTCCTGAAAGATCTGCACCACTTGTAAACATCAAGACCACGGGTCCTTTGGAGTTACTCTGTATGGACTATTTGTCCCTTGAACCAGATCGAAGTAACACCAAAGATATTCTAGTTATAACTGATCAATATACGAAGTTTGCAGTTGCAATACCTACACCAAATCAAAAAACAAAGACAGTGGCAAAGTGTTTATTTGAAAACTYCGTTGTGTGTTATGGATTACTAGAGCATCTACACACCAACCAAGGACCTGATTTTGAATCAAAGCTCATAAAGGAACTCTGCAACACCTTGGGTATTGATGAGACCCAAACAACTCCTTACCATCTTCGAGGGAACCCCATTGAACGATTTAATCAGACACTTCTCAATATGCTTGACACTTTGGAACAAAAACAGAAAACCACTTGGAAAGAATATGTGAAACCTTTAGTGCACGCTTATAACTGCACCAAAATGAAGTCACTGGATTTTCACCTTATGAACTCATGTTTGGACATCCACCTCAACTTCCAGTAGACCTAGCATTTGGGCTGCCAGTACGAGAGCAACAGTGCACCACTCATTCAGAATATGTTCAGAAATTACAGTCCCGGCTTGAAGAAAGTTTTGAAATTGCTTCAAAAAATAAAGCAAAGTCTGCTATGAAAATCAAGCACCAGTTTGATCAGTGTGTCACACCATCAAAGWTGGAGGAAGGAGACAGAGTCCTTGTTCGAAATGTCAGGCTTCAAGGAAAACACAAGCTGGAGGACAAATGGGAGCAAGATGTTTATGTGGTGGTGAAGAGAGCTGGAGAATTGCCTGTCTATACTGTGCGTCCAGAAAAGAATSCTGATGGACCAACCCACACTCTCCACCGTGATCTCCTTTTGCCTTGTACATTTCCTCAAACTAGTGACACTGAGGACACACCAGCACACCACCTCGAAAACCTAAAACGACGAGTCAGAAATTAACAGACCCAGACCCAAATGAAGAGTTGGAAGAGGAGGATGTTGGAGATGAGTTTCCCATACCATAGGTTTACCCCACAACATTCATGTCCAGGAGTTCACTACAGGCTAATGAACCTCATGGAGATTTTCAACCTCAATTTCAAAGTGATCATGTTTCTACCGCAGCCAGTGTTTGTCATGTGTATCCTGAAATCTCAACTTTGAATTCCCCTTTAATTGATGATAGAGAATCTCCTGCTGTGTCAGCACCCCAAGGCACAAACACAGTCACAGCATCTGAAAACATCTCTGTGGAAAGAGAGGAGCTTGCATCTACTAATAACTCATCCAGACCTGAAGAATTGGAAAGATCCAAAGGCCAACCTGAAGAAGAACCAGAGCTTCCTGACCAAGCAGAGATATCCCCTGTTCTAACTGAACCATTGCTTAGCTCAGTTGAAGAGACTAAACCTTGTGTTCCGTGATCCACAAGACAACTGCAAGTTCTCTAATCACCTTCAGTATTCGATTTTAGGCAATCCTTTAATTCCTGTTGTTCAGACATTGTTTCGTAGTTTAGATGTCTGTGGTAAAGCAATATCCGTCTTTTAAAAATAAGACCCCAAAGGGTGGATTAATTTTGTCGAAATCCCAGCTACATTAATCAATATATGGGTATATTTATACACAAAAGCTGTCAGAATGTGTCACTCTGTTTGGGAAGCAGACGGAAACATGTAGCATGAAGCGTATGTGTACACACATGATTCATGTGGATTTTATTTTGAAATCAGAAGATTCAAAAAGACGACAGCGATACTGTTTCAACCATAGATATCAAAAGCTTCTATGTTTTGAGCTGTGTTTGGAGTTTGTCTTTCACTGAATAAATAATTTTTTGCTCTGACTTCCACATTTATCACTGGATTTATCATGAGATCTCCTTCCTGCACACACTCCCTACTCAGTGTGTCGCACCGAAGCAGAGCTGAGTGACTGTATAAATCAGGGTGCAAATAAACAGCTGCAAACTGTGCTGCACAGCGGAGTGGAGTGTAAATCCAGGGTCAATTTGGTGTTTTTAGCCTTCCTATGTGAAAGTTACTGTTGTCTGAACTTTCTTCGCTTAGCCTTCAGAGGTGCTGGATGCTTTTTTGCTCTCTCCTGAACCAGCCCCTCCTACCCTGCTTTGCAGCTTTTTCACTCTTGTGCAATACTGCCAAGAAGCACATCACTTTTCTTTGCACATATCGCCGCAGTTTGGGGAGGTGATTTGTTGAAACAGACTTTTGGCTCGTGGTGATAAATAAACAGTTGTTGAGGATTGCTAGTTCTGCTGCTTCTTTGTCATATTCTTATGTTTATAATAGGACTTTGGTAGGAAATCATTCGATATATTAGTAATTTTAAACTGTTTATCGGAGAACAAAGCAATGCATTCTGGGTACAGGACAGAGCAAATAACACAGAAGACAGGAAACTGTCTTCATGTCAAAATAAGAACATGAATTTAACTTTTCCTTGCTTATGTTATGACTCTAATTACCACCCCTTCTCTTTGAGCATATTCTACTCTGGTTCGGGTCTGTTCAGTTCTGCTCAAGTGTGTGTGTGTCTCCATGTGTCCTTCACTGTGTGTGTGATTATGGGCAGATTATCCACAATGCCATTGTGTTAAATGCCATTGTGGTTTTACCATTCGGTATGTATTTATTTATTTATTTATTGTTGCAGTGTTGTTTATAAGTGCTTGTTTAACTGTGGGTGGCCATTTTGTTCAGATATCTATATCTATATATACTACAACCATTGTTTAACCAGATTCCTCCTCCTGGTTGTAAAGTTCTCCTCCACAACGGCTGACTGTTATTTGTAAGAATGAAAGGGGGGAAAAAACTTTTAGATTTTAAACTGACGGTTCTTTCAACCAATAAAGAGAACCACGGTCAAAGTTTTACACAATCAGATCACAGCAGGGCAGGGTGGGTCATGCTGTCTGACTGACAGTGGGTGTTCGCAGCCTCGAGTCTCTCCACATMGGCTGCCTTCGTGGTGCACCATTCAAACATTGCTCATCAAGTTTTGCTCTCCTATTTACAACATTTCATAAGTTATAAAGTGTACTGCCACATGACCTTTTGGAAAAAAACTGTAACAATGTAAGCACCTCCACCTCTAGTGATGGTACACGTGCGTTAGCACCCAAAGCTTCAGATTGACTAGGAAGTAAAAGGGGGGCTTTGAGTAATATACGTTGGGAACCACTGAGCTAGGGTATATAGCCTCTAAGAACAAAATGTTATCGGAGGGGGCGTGCTTAAGTTACAATGATTCTGCATTGTACTGACTGGAGACAGTATTCTCTCTCCACTGTTAAAGATGATGATCAGTACTTGATGAAATCATTTATTTAGCGCTACTGTATTTTTAGTTTTAGAAAGCACAAATTTGCATAAAGTTCAAGAAATTTAATAAAATCCCTAAAGCAAAAATGTTTGGTCCACAATTAGCGCTATAGAACTTTAGGGGACTAGTGCCCACTATAAGAGTTCTTACATCTCTTATAACGAAAGTTATAAGGAAATTATTTAATTTCAGTTTAATTGCAGTTTATTTATATAGCACCAAGTCACAACATACGTTGTCTCAGGGCACTGTACATAAAAAGAATAATCCAAAGAAGAAGCCAGCAGAATGTGTTGAATCACTTCATCACAGTCTCCCTTCCTGAGCAAATGGTGGAGAGGAAAAACTCCCTGCTAATCAGGAAGAAACCTCCAGCAGAACCAGGCTCAGGGCAGGAGAACATCTTCCTCAACCTGCTGGTTGAGGGACAGGAAAGAGACACAGACAAACACAGAAGAACTGGTCCAGGACTGGTCCAGGTGCACCTTCTTCTGGAAGAGACAAAAAATAACATGATAGAAATAATTTACCAAGCGTTCTTAACTTATTAAGGAAATACCTTTTCTGTGCAAAGGTGAATAATAATACAATAAGTTATGTAACTCAGTGAATTTGACTTGATTCAGCAACAAACGTGATCATTTATTTACATAAATCAAACAAATTACGAGTGAACAACTTAATTGTGGGCAATCAATTTTTCAATAAAAGTTTAAGAATTAACAACAATGAGCATGTGTTCGCGCTAATTAATTATTAATACGACAACTTCAGAAACAACAAAACATCAGGCTTAGATGTAAAATAAAACAGGAACATTTGCAGGTACTTATACTTAGGTTTTGGCAAGGCAGATAAGTGAAGGAATAGGAAGAAAGGAGAATTAATTAGTTATTTCTAACTTTACCTTAACGAATCAAAAAGAAAAAAAAATGTGTAGGTCTTCTGGACAGGTTCTTCTCTAATGAAACGTTTCGTCTCTCTTCCAAGAGACTTCTTCAGTCTGAGAGTTTCAGGCAAAATTCAGGCTTTTAAGCACTGCCTCCATGTGACTGATACTCACATCACATGGCTATCGTTGACACCTAATTAACACCTATTGTTAACAGGGGGTGGAGTGATACTGGCAATAGCAGCACTGTAGAAGGGGGACAACTGAAAACGGAGGCCTCCACCTCTGTTTAATGATGGACGGTCTTTCTTCACAAAAATGGCTTCTTTTACTCCTCTCTCAAACCAACGTTCCTCTCTATCAAGAATGAGAACATCCTCATCTCTGAAAGAGTGACCGCTGGCCTGTAAATGAGTGAAAACTGCAGATTTCTGGCCATTAG